TTAGCACTATATCATTCTAAGCCGTTATAAAACTTTAAGTTGAGAAGAAAGAAACTGTAACTATCTTGTGAGAAAGTTTAAGGATTTACAGTRCATCATCATGGAAAATCTGCCGGACATTTCGGATGAAACTCTTCCGTCAGAAAAGTCAGCAACTGTAATCCCCCGTGAMGTACCWTWATTTATCTTTCCATAGCAACTTTTATATTTATATTTTACTTTACAAAAGGTGTTCGAATAACAAGTCTGATCCATTCATAGACCCTTAGACAACTATCTGCTGGACGTTTTTGTTTTAATTGTAAACCAAGCAAAAATAGACATTGCCAAGCACCTGTTTCAATCAGTGCTAATTTAAAGATTCACATGTTTCATCTTATTTGAAGGAGATGTACTGATTCTTAGCTAAGGTAAGGTCTTATGGACTCAATTTATCATAACTATACACGCGGTCTCCTATGACGAGATTGACAAGCCATTCTTATCGAACGCATGTTTTTCTTTTTACGACATGGACAACCCTAAAATAATTCTAATGAAAAACGTCAAAACTTACTGGAAAGACAGCTTTCGACCAAAAGACAAAACTACAAAAARTAAAGGAACTTTCCTTCCAATGGGCAACAAAAAAGTTCGCAACTGCTGATATTTTTTTAAGGAATWATATTGGAGATTATATGATAAACAGAAACATTGTGACTTAACGATACGTGACATATTCCTCTCCACTCGTTGCACAGCAGTGGTATTTCACTCGAAGATAAAATTCGTATCTACGGGCGACCATGCAACTACCATCCTATTGTTGTAAATTGACTCTTCTGTGGTAGACTGTAGTTTAATTAACTCAACATGTACACATGATGTAGGTTAGCGAGCGAACTAACGAACTAATTTACATATGACAAATATTACATGTGAAACTGTCAATCAACTGAACTAATTATATATGCACGTATCATTACAATTGTTTTCATTAATTTTCGTTTTGCAGTTTAGTGTGAAATGGTGATTTCTTGCCGCATCTTAAAATAACTTACCTTATTCTTCTAAATTCCACTGTAATACTTCATAGAGCTGTAAACGAATTTCAAGAACATTTATTTTTAAGTTTGTAAATTTTTCTAAAATTTTAAGTTTTCTCTATTTTGATAACTTGTAATACAATTAATTTTTTTTGCAAATTTAATTTAGTTTTAGATAAAGTTGATGAGGGGATAATTTATTCCARTGAAGCAATAGTCGACTTTAGATATTTTGGTTCAGTGACCATGCACAACAGAATTGCAGACGAGGCTCCGGGGAAA